ATGAAATGCCATTCTGCACTGCATCTGCCATATGACAGACTTGCCCCATTACAGATGGATGCAGAGAAACTGAAACAAGCATTCTTCTCACACACTACCCAAGCAAATGTTCTGTGCCTTTGATGCTGCATTCCAGTTTGTTGTTCTGTTGATTTTGTTTTAAAATTCGTAATAGTAAGCACACCATTTTTTTTACACACACAGTATATGATACAATTACCATGAGATATTTTTTTTTAATGTGTTTATTAATGGTATACAATTCTTTGTATATTGAAATTTACTGTCATTTTTTTTCTCCACAGTATCAATTAACACTTTTTGATACTTGTTCATTATCACTGAATATTTTTCTCCAAAAATGTCAATGAATAAATGCCCTGTCTGATTCTCCATTCACTAACATAGTATACAATGAACCACCTTAAGTGGCTCAAAATTTATCACAAATTTACCCTCAAATAGTAGGACTTTACAAGTACAGATGAAGTCAACCATGAAGCTTGTCACAATTGAATTATATCTATAAGCCAAGTCATCTGTATTAACCTCTGCATTATTTTACAGTCATAAATCAATCTGCGTCTTCTAAATGTAATCTGCATTAACCTCTGAGGTATCCAGCTATGAGTCAATCTACAGCTTCTAACCTTAATCTGTGTTAATCTCTGAAGTATCCAGCTATGAGTCAATCTACAGCTTCTAACCTTAATCTGTGTTAATCTCTGAAGTATCCAGCTATGAGTCAATCTGCAGCTTCTAACCTTAATCTGTGTTAAACTCTGAAGTATCCAGCTATGAGTCAATCTACAGCTTCTAACCTTAATCTGTGTTAAACTCTGAAGTATCCAACTATGAGTCAATCTGCAGCTTCTAACCTCAATCTGCGTTAAACTCTGAAGTATCCAGCTATGAGTCAATCTGCAGCTTCTAACCTTAATCTGTGTTAAACTCTGAAGTATCCAACTATGAGTCAATCTGCAGCTTCTAACCTCAATCTGTGTTAAACTCTGAAGTATCCAGCTATGAGTCAATCTGCAGCTTCTAACCTCAATCTGTGTTAAACTCTGAAGTATCCAGCTATGAGTCAATCTGCAGCTTCTAACCTTAATCTGTGTTAAACTCTGAAGTATCCAGCTATGAGTCAATCTACAGCTTCTAACCTTAATCTGTGTTAAACTCTGAAGTATCCAACTATGAGTCAATCTGCAGCTTCTAACCTCAATCTGCGTTAAACTCTGAAGTATCCAGCTATGAGTCAATCTGCAGCTTCTAACCTCAATCTGTGTTAAACTCTGAAGTATCCAGCTATGAGTCAATCTGCAGCTTCTAACCTCAATCTGTGTTAAACTCTGAAGTATCCAGCTATGAGTCAATCTGCAGCTTCTAACCTCAATCTGTGTTAAACTCTGAAGTATCCAGCTATGAGTCAATCTGCAGCTTCTAACCTCAATCTGTGTTAAACTCTGAAGTAACCAGCTATGAGTCAATCTGCAGCTTCTAACCTCAATCTGTGTTAAACTCTGAAGTAACCAGCTATGAGTCAATCTGCAGCTTCTAACCTCAATCTGTGTTAAACTCTGAAGTATCCAGCTATGAGTCAATCTGCAGCTTCTAACCTCAATCTGTGTTAAACTCTGAAGTATCCAGCTATGAGTTAATCTGCAGCTTCTAACCTCAATCTGTGTTAAACTCTGAAGTATCCAGCTATGAGTCAATCTGCAGCTTCTAACCTCAATCTGTGTTAAACTCTGAAGTATCCAGCTATGAGTCAATCTGCAGCTTCTAACCTCAATCTGTGTTAAACTCTGAAGTATCCAGCTATGAGTCAATCTGCAGCTTCTAACCTCAATCTGTGTTAAACTCTGAAGTATCCAGCTATGAGTCAATCTGCAGCTTCTAACCTCAATCTGTGTTAAACTCTGAAGTATCCAGCTATGAGTCAATCTGCAGCTTCTAACCTCAATCTGTGTTAAACTCTGAAGTATCCAGCTATGAGTTAATCTGCAGCTTCTAATTGCTACTACAGATAAAGGCTACTATTCATAGTGATCCAACATTTGTTCCCATAAATGACCTTGTAAAAAGGTAACTTTTGAACATGCAAACAAAAAGTTTCATTAGAAATCCATTGTAGTGGATTACACTGTAAGTATATCATAACTGTCAACAGACAGTGTGCTATCCACTCCTTGAAAGTACGACAGTTTATCATAGAGTAACAGCACACCTGCTGCATCAGCAAACAACACAACAGGTAAATACAAGAAGAAAAACAAACTTGTATTTATAACCTTGCAATAAATCAGACAAGAATAAAGTGTCCGCAAACACAATAATATCCATACACATAACATGTGCCAGGTTGGAAGCTCCCTTCCACTAGCAGGCACTGGCAATGATAAATAACCTGATACTTTTAAGTAGACACGGGCTACTTCAACTGCTAATCTGTGCTACTTTTCAGGGAGCAGTCTGAGGATTTAGAGCCAGGTGACTAGTGCAGTTGCCACAAACTGTGCAGGTTAGGATTGTATAGATCTGATAAATGTTCTGTATCATGTCTTGAGCTGATAAACTGAAGAAAGATGAGGACAGACATTTGACAGAAAAGACTTACAAAAGTAATAAATGCCCTTGATCATTTCTCGCAGCTGATGAACAATAGAAGATCCAGGACACATATACAGGTCAAGGGTTATAATATGTTATGAACTGAAGAGGCATCAGAGACAAACTTGACATAAAAATCTTATATAAGTAATTAATGTGTTTTATCATCAGTGGAAGCTGATGAACTGAACAGGTGCAAGGACACACATGTCACAACAAGGTGCCAGGACACACACGTCACAACAAGGTGCCAGGACACACACGTCACAACAAGGTGCCAGGACACACATGTCACAACAAGGTGCCAGGACACACATGTCACAACAAGGTGCCAGGACACACACGTCACAACAAGGTGCCAGGACACACATGTCAAAACAAGGTACCAGCACACACACGTCACAACAAGGAGCCAGGACACACATGTCACACAATAAAATCTACAAATGTCATAAATATAAGCCTGTGAGGGCAGTACACCTTTATGACAGTTCAAATACAACAAACAAACACAATTTATTTTGATGATACACTCATTAGTAGAGGTGAAGAAAAATCACATCAAATATGATGCTTGACAAAGAAAGAGTCGGCCTTTCAACCATCATGTCTAACCAGGTCCCTGAATCAACATCTCATGAATTAGCCACACCAAACAAATCACCCAGACAGACACTGCAGTTGGATGGGGTGTGTCCAACAAGATGCCTCCCCAGCCCTCTGCAATCACACCTGTGTCCCGCACTAAGGAAATCATCTGTCATCATTTGTATGAAATGATTCCAGTTAGTTGTTGTGTGCAGCGAACATGTGACCCCTATGCTCCCCAGGAAGCCCTCAGTTAAGAATGTCTGATTGAGATCACCAAGCTCTAACCATTCAATGGTGTAAATTTCACAGTGGAATGTTTTTTGGCATGTTCGCGTAAAATGTTAGCCCGCGTAAATTCAGCAGGACACAGATGACACTTGTACGGTTTCTCCCCAGTGTGCGTTCGCTGGTGCCTCTTCAACTCTTGATTCTCGATGAAGCTCAGTGGACACTCGCTGCATTTGAAGGGCCTGATCCCTGTGTGAATAGCCTCATGTCTCTTCAAATGAGTAGATCTGGAAAACTTTTGTTTACAAACATCACATTTGAAAGGTTTGTTTCCAGTATGTGTCTGTAGGTGTCTTTTTAGACCAAACAAATCAACAAATCCCTTTTTGCAAATGTCACACTTGAACTGTTTCTCCTCGGCGTGTGTCAATTTGTGCCGTTTAAAAAGATTTGCTCGGAGAAACCCTTCACCACAGACATCACACGTGAAGGGTTTCTCACCTGTGTGTTCAACAATGTGCATTTTCAATTCATGACGGTGCAAAAATTTCATTTCACACTTATCACACTTGAAAGGCTTGTCGCCAGTGTGGATGTTTAAGTGTAGCTTCAGGTCATAGCTTCTGGAAAAACTCTTATCGCAAGCGTCACACTTGTAAACCTTTTCCACTCCATGAGTTCTTCTATGAGTTTTCAGCTTGGCTAAATCAGCAAAGGTTTGCTCACAAAGGTCACATTTGTAAACTTTCTCTTTTGAATGTATCTTAGCATGTCTCTGCAGAGAACTGAATTTGGTGAATGAAACATTGCAAATATCACACACATAAGATTTGTCGGCTGTTGAATCAGTTTTTCTTTTTTCTGCAACATTAGTCAACTTTTCAGTACGGACACCCGAAATGTGTTTATCATGTATTCTTTTGTGTCTTTTTAAATCAAATTTTTCAATAAAACTCATCTGACAAACATCACAAGCAAATGCCTTGTCTCCTGAGTGTATTTTCTCATGTCTCTTTAAGTTACTGCTGCGAGAGAAGAATAAACCACAAACACTGCACTTATAAGGTGTTTCATCTGCGTGAGTGAACTTGTGTCTATTTAAATCACAGACTTCAATGAACTTTGCTCCGCACGTATCACACACGTAAGGCCTATCTCCTGTATGTGTTGGTATATGTCTCTTCAGACGTTTAAGATTAGTAAATACTGACCCACATAAGTCACATTTGTACGAGCTTAGTTTCACATGTGTGGCTTTGTGCTTTTTAAATTCTTCAGCTTCAAGAAACACTAAAGAGCATTTAACACATCGATATGACTTATCTCCCTTAATTACTCTTTCTTCCTTAATTACTCTTTCATCCTTAATTACTCTTTCATCCTTGTTCCCTAACCCACCCATTGTAAACCTCACACTGGATAGGTTCCAGCTGAAAGGCTGCCTTTTCTTTGCCTCTTGCGTGGGTTTGTCAGGTTTCAAAATACTGCACCCAAATAATTTAACCTCACATCTGTTGCTAATGATACAATTTGTATTGTTATTATCAAATTCAACATTACTTTTACACATGGGAGACACTAATTCTCCAACCGTCTTCTTCTTATTATCGCCAACTGTTTCATGAGCGATCAGCACATTACTGCCACTATCTAACACACTGTTGTCATCCTTCTCACTGACTGTCTTATGTCTGTCTGTGTTACTGTCCTCAACCTCCATCTCGGAGTCACTGCATCTGTCTGCCATGCTGACATCGTCCTTCTCACTGACACAATCATATCTGTACGTGTTACTTTCCTGATCCTCCAACTCAGGGTTGTTGCAACTGTCAAACACACTAACATCCTTTCTATTATTATCAACCTTGTTACTGACATCATCCTTTTTAGTGACACCAACCTTCTTACTGATGTCAACCTTTTTGCTGACATCACCCTTCCTACTGACATCATTCTTTTTCCTGACAGCAGCCTTTTTAATGACACAAGCCTTTTTGCCAACATCATCCTTTCTACTGACATCAACACATTTATTGACGTCAACCATTTTACTGACATAATCTTTTTCGCCGAAATCAGCCTTGTTACCGCCGTCATCCTTTTTATGGACATCAGCCATTTTACTTAGATCATCCTTTTTGCAGACATCGTCGTTTTTACTGACAAAATCATATCTGTGCACGTTACTGTCCTGAGACTCCATCTCTGAGTCATTGCAGCTGTCAAACACACTAACATCGTCCATCTTACTGACATCATCCTTTTTACTGACATTGATCTTTTTGGTGACATCAACCTTTTTACTGACATCAACACTGTTACTGACATCATCCTTTGTACTAACATCAAACTTTTTACTGACATCATTCTTTTTACTCACACCAACCTTTTTACTGACACCAACCCTTTTACTGACATCATCCATTTCACTGACAGAATCACATCTGTAAAGGTCCTGATCCTCCATCTCAGAGTCACCACAACTGTCAAACGCACTAACATTCTTCCTACTATTATCAACCGTTTTACTGACATTGTCATTGTTACTGATATCATCCTTTTTAGTGACATCAATCTTCTTACTGATGTCAACCTTTTTGCTGACATCAACCTTTTTGCCGACATCTTCTTTTTTACTGACATAAACTACTGTACTGACATCATCCTTCTTATTGACATCATTCTTTTTCCTAACAGCAACCTTTTTAATGACACAAGTTTTTTTAACATCATCCTTTCTACTGACATCACCCTTTGTACTGACATCAATACATTTACTGACGTCAACCATTTTACTGACATAATCTTTTTCGCCGAAATCAGCCTTTTTAACGCCGTCATCCTTTTTATCGACCTTTTTCCTGACAGCAACCTTATTAATGACACAAGTCTTTTTGCTAAAATCATTCTTTCCACTGACATGAACACATTTACTGAGGTCAACCTGTTTACTGACATCCTCCTTTTTACTGACATTATCCGGTTCATTGACAGCATCCTTTTTACTGACATCATTCTTTTTATTGACATTATTCTTTTTACTGACATTATTCTTTTTACTGACATCATTCTTTTTACTGACATCAACCTTTTTCTCGACATCCTCTTTTTTACTGATATCAACTTTTTTACTGATATCAACTTTTTTACTGACATCCTCCTTTTTACTGACATCAACCTTTTTACTGATATCAACCTTTGTACTGACCTCTTTTTTACTGACATTAACTTTTTTACTGATATCAACCTTTGTACTGACATCATCCATTTCACTGACAGAATCACATCTGTACAAATTAATGTCCTGATTCTCCATCTCAGAGTCGCTGCAACTGTCAAACACACTAACATCATCCATCTTACTGACATCATGCTTTTTACTGACATCATGCTTTTTACTGACATCAACCTTTTTAGTGACATCAATCTTGTTACTGATGTCAACCTTTTTGCTGACATCATTCTTTTTCCTGACAGCAACCTTTTTAATGACACAAGCATTTTTGCCAACATCATCCTTTCTACTGACATCAACACATTTACTGAGGTCAACCTGTTTACTGACATAATCCTTTTTACCTAAATCAGCCCTGTCACTGCCGTCATCCTTTTTGCAGACATTGTCGTTTTTACTGACAAAATCATATCTGTACGTGTTACTGTCCTGATACTCCATCACTGAGTCACCGCAGCTGTCAGACACACTAACATCGTCCATCTTACTGATATCATCCTTTTTGGTGACATCAACCGTTTTACTGACATCAGCCTTTTCACCGATATGAACCTTTTTACTGACATCAGCCTTTTCAGTGATGTTGACACTTTTACTGACACCAGCCTTTTTAATGAAATCAATCTGTGATTTAGTATTATAAACCTTGTTACTGACATCAGCACTTTTACTGACATGAGCCTTTTTAGTGACAACTTGTTTACTGACATCATGTCTGCAGGCATTCCTGTTCCCATCCTCCATATCTACATCACTACAGCTGTCAACATTTGCACTGGTGTCAGAAATAGCAGACACTGCAACAATAGATGCTGCTCCACCGTTGCTGTTACAATCATCTAGTGCTTTAGGACCAGTAGCACTAACTTTCTGGACATTGTTAGAAACTGCAGATCTGTTGTTAGTGGTTACTGTGTCCCTGCATCTGCCTGGCATAGTGACCCCATTCTTTAGGCTGACAATTGGTCCGCATGTGTTCTTATCTCCCCTCTCTGTGCTACTGCAGCTGTCTACCCCAATGTGATCATTGTTCACGTCTAGATTTTCCGTCTCAGGCAGCACAACACATTTGGAGACAGCAGTATTTCACATCTGAGGATGATTCATCTTCGAGAAATTCTACAGAACATTTGTAAGACTTGTCTATTGCATGTGTGTGTTTGTGAGTCTTCAGTTCTTCTTCTTCAAGGAATCTCAAAGGACATTTATCACATTTGTAAGACTTATCTTCCTTAGGCTGTGTCTTATCCTTTCTCCTTAACCCAGCCATTGTAAACCTGACACTAGATATGCCCCAGCTGTGAGGTTTCTTTGCCTTGTGTGTGGGTGTGCCAGGTTCCCACCTAGTTAATTTAACCTCACATCTTTTACTAATAATAACATTTGTATTTATATTATATAACTTATCATTATTTTTACAAATGGGAGTCACAACAACCGATTTTCCAACACTGTCATTTTTGTTACCATCAAGTGCTTCAGAAGCAGTAGCGGGAGCTCCTCGGAGGTTATCAGAAACCAAAGATCTGTTGTTATCAGCGGTCTCGGCGTCAGTGCCACTATCAGATCCACTGCTATCATCCTTCTGACAGGCAAAATCACGTCTGTGTATGTTACTGTCCTCATCTTCCATCTCGGAGTCGCTGCCTGTGTCTGCTATAAAAACAAATTTATATTATAAATCAGGGAAATTGTACACAGAAAAAAACCCAGCTACTGAGATAGACAAAACAATCAAGACTCCACAAGGACTTGGACGGATGCAGATTTGTAAGCATGACTGATCTCATTTAATCCTGTCACCCCAACAAGCAAGAAACACAACACTTCCCGCAGGTCCAATTACCTGTAAATGTCACTGTTCATTACAGTGATGTGTTTATGAAGTGCACACTTTATGCTGCTGGTTCAATTCATGCTTGCACAAACATTTAGGTCATGATATGAATATATCAGCTAAAAAATAGCATTCAGGAATGGGCCATTGTGAATCAAATGACTTTTTTTTAAACCAAGTTAATATCAAATTTTCCATTACGCCTCAGTGGTAGAGGTCAGAGCATGAGTCCCATGCTACAAGAGCTGCAGGGAGTGTATTTCATTGAATGCTTCATTTATGTTAATTGATTACTGCATTTATTTATCTATAAAAGCCCTCCAAAAGTACACAGAAAGCATGAGAAATGCCACCCTGACCTCAAGTTTCAATGAACAGGAAAATCCCAACTGTACCTGCTCGTGATCGAGGATTTAAACACAGCTTGGTGCTGCTAACACAGTCAAAGGGACAGAGCATCCAAGGGGCAGACAACTCTGAGGTGCTATGCTATATGCTGTTAGCAACAGCGGCACCGATGAGGGAACTCACTGGCTAAGGTTAAGATGCTCATCCACATGAATAGCAAGGGGAAACTACATTAGGGAACATAACACTAGAAACTCTGAATGGACTAGTTATGGAAGCACAGAGGGCTGGTGAATTAGCCAGAGAAACAGAAACTTTCAGCGGTGCCGCACGGAAAGGGACATTCTGTTATGAACCTGCTGATCGACTGGAGAAACAAACAGCTGTAAAAGATATACAGTTTTCAGATCCTATATTTCTGGAGAATAAATGTGTCATATTTGGAGGAATACTGTACAGGTAGGCAGGTAGGTAGGTGTATGTGTGCATGTGTGTAGTGAAGGACCCTTTTCCATGCCTTCAGGTAATACAGTGCTGATCCTAGATTTGACAGACCAACCCTCACTCAGTGGCTGATGCTGTCAACACCGTACCAGCTACCTGTACTTGGCAGCACTTGACCTGGACCCACTTCAGACTGGGTCCACCTGGCAGCCAAGGTCCTTTCTTGTAAAAACTGGCAGGCTCCATTAGGATTTGAATCCATGACCTTTGGATTCCCAGGTGAGTGTCTAACTGCTACACTATGGTAGCTTCCCTAAGATGATAGAGGTCTGAAAATAAAGACACTGTCAGACTGCAAATTGTTCCTTCCCATGACATTCAAGCACACAAGTGGAAGTAGATGATGGATGACGATTCCTCGATGTGTCTACTAGATCAAACAAATCAACATCATTTGAAAATATCAAGATGGAGATGTGTCCTTTCAAAATAAAAAAAATAAAAAATACCTGATCACAAACATTACATACGAACAGTTTCTCACCTGTATGTCTACGAACATGCCTTTTCATCGTACGCCGATACAGAAATTTCATCTCACATTGATCACATTTGTATGGCTTGATGCCAGTGTGGATATAAGAGTGCAGCTTCAGGTCATGCTTTCTGGTAAACCCTGAGTTACAGACGTCACATTTGTAAGGCTTGTGGCCTGGGTGGTTTTTTATGTGTCGCTTCAGTCCAGAACTGTCAGAAAAACTCCTGTTACAACCATCACACTTGTGAGAATTGAGGCCCGTGTGAGTTTTTCTATGGCGCTTCAGCTTGGCTTTGTCAACAAATGTTTCTTTGCAGAAACCACAGAAATGATTTGCCTCTGATGAATGTATCTTTGCGTGTGTCATCAGAGACTTGTATTTGCTGAATGGAGCACTGCACAGCGCACACACATAAGACTGTCGGTTTAATAGAGCAGATTTGTTCTTTTCGGCAATATAAGTAGACTTTTGAATACAGGCATCGCACTGACCTGATCTCATTTTTTCATGCAATCTTTTGTGTCTTTTTAATTCACATTCTTGAATGAAATCCAGATAGCAAACATCACAAACAAACGGCCTTTCGCCTGAGTGTTTTTTCATGTGCCTTTGTAAATTTTTCCTACATGAAAGCTCTTCAGAACATACATAACACTTAAAACGCTTTTGTCCTCCATGTGTTTTTGTGTGTTTAATAAAATCACAGCCGAGAGTGAACTTTAATCCACAATAAATGCACAAATAAGACCCGTCCGTATGCGTGTCTTTGTGCTTCTTCAATTCATCAGCTTCAACAAAGCCTAAATCACATTTATCACATTTGTGTACTTCTTCAAATCTTTTCATTAAACTACCCATCACAGAACTCACACCAGACATGTACCAGTCAAGAGGGTTTTTTGACACGGGTGTGGATTTGTCAGGTTGAGAAACACTGGTGGATTTGTCATTTTGAGAAACACTGGTGTTACTTAGCTTAGCATCACATTTATCACTAATGATAACACTTTTACTGTTTTTAGATTGAACATTAGTTTGACACCTGCCAGATATGACCACAATATACTGTGGAGCACCGTCATTGTTACTTTCATTAGGTTCTCCAGGAATCACAGCAGTGACTTCTTGAGAGTTGCCAGACTTGCTGTTGTCAGTGGTCTCTATGTAACTGAATCTGTCAGCACCAGTGGCGTTATCCTTCAGACTGACAACATTCTGTGTGTTGATATTCTTGTTTTCTCTCTGTGTGTCACTGCACCTGTCGGCAAAGGTGGCATTATCTGTCAGACTGACAACACTGTGTGTGAAGATGTTCTTGTCTGTCTGTCTGTGACTGGAACTGTCGGCAACTATGGCCTTATCCATCAAACCGAAAACATTGTGTCTGTTCATGTTCTTGTTGTCTCTCTCTGTATGACTGAACCTGTCTGCAACGGTGGCCTTGTCTGTCAGACTGACAACAGTGCACCTAGTTGTGTTCTTATTGTGTCTCTCTGTATGACTGAACCTGTCTGCAACGGTGGCCTTGTCTGTCAGACTGACAACAGTGCACCTAGTTGTGTTCTTATTGTGTCTCTCTGTATGACTGAACCTGTCTGCAACGGTGGCCTTGTCTGTCAGACTGACAACAGTGCACCTAGTTGTGTTCTTATTGTGTCTCTCTGTATGACTGAACCTGTCTGCAACGGTGGCCTTGTCTGTCAGACTGACAACAGTGCACCTAGTTATGTTCTTGTTGTCTCTCTCTGTATGACTGAACCTGTCTGCAACGGTGGCCTTGTCTGTCAGACTGACAACAGTGCACCTAGTTATGTTCTTATTGTGTCTGTCTGAGTTGCTGCATCTGTCAGCAACAGTGGGATTATCTGTCAGACTGACAACAGTGTGTCTGTAGATGTTCTTGCTGTGTCTGTCTGTGTCAGGGCTATTGTCTGCCACACCAGGATGGTTGCTCTTGTCAGCATTCTCTACCTCTGCAAGAACAGAAAATTTATATAACGACTGAGAAAATACATTAGAACATGACTCTGGGAGATAATAAAACTATATGTAAACAAAGAAACAACAATGGGACTCCATGGGAACATCACTCTGGGAGATAATAAAACTATATGTAAACAAAGAAATAACAATGGGACTCCATGGGAACATCACTCTGGGAGATAATAAAACTATATGTAAACAAAGAAACAACAATGGGACTCCATGGGAACATCACTCTGGGAGATAATAAAACTATATGTAAACAAAGAAACAACAATAGGACTCCATGGGAACATTACTCTGGAGGAAGGGGGAGAAACCATACGTAAACAGAGAAACAACAATTGCATTCCACAGATTCATATTTGTAGTCATTACTTTTTAAATGTAAAGTCAACGGAAAAAAAAAGGTTGAAATGTCTTTAAAATAATCTGGAATATTTAGGCATGAAAATCAATTGACAGCAAAACCTCATTAACAGGAACTCTCTGGACCCTCTTGCTGAGATAAAGCTGTTTTTCTCATTGCTAAAGGTTTTTGATGTCACAACCTCTCGGAACAGTGGTCGTCATGTCTACATGACAGCTGTGGGAATGGTTACAACTGCAAGTATGGGAACGACACCTTAAAGTTGATTCATTGAGAAACAGCAGATCCAGTGGTTTGGTCATCTCGTTAGAATGCAACAAGATCAAATACCATCACAAGCTTTACATCTCAGAAAATCAGCTACAAGAGCAAAGGGCGGCAGCAAAAATATGGATCGACAACATTAAAGACACTCTACATCTTCACGGCATAACAAAAGCCAGTGGTAGCCAGCCGCACTGGATCGCAAATTATCACGATGCTTAACAGCAGAAGTGGATGATGATGAAAATCTGCACAGTGTGTATAGATGGCAGGTATAATTATAAAAAAATCTGTTTTTTTTTTTTTTTTGGTAACAAATATTGGAATAAAAAAATGTATTTTTTGTTTAAGGTCAATGTAATTTTAAAGGGGCTAAATGGTTGAGTTGAACACTCAGTTAATGTAAACAAAATGGTTGAGATGAACACTAAGTTAATGTAAACAAAATGGTTGATATAAACACTTGGTTAATGTGAACAAAATGGTTGATATAAACACTTGGTTAATGTGAACAAAATGGTTGATATAAACACTTGGTTAATGTGAACAAAATGGTTGATATAAACACTTGGTTAATGTGAACAAAATGGTGGATATAAACACTTGGTTAATGTGAACAAAATGGTGGATATAAACACTTGGTTAATGTGAACAAAATGGTTAATGTGAACAAAATGGTTGATATAAACACTTGGTTAATGTGAACAAAATGGTTGATATAAACACTTGGTTAATGTGAACAAAATGGTTGATATAAACACTTGGTTAATGTGAACAAAATGGTTGATATAAACACTGGGTTCATCAGTTCTCGTTATGCCTAGTGGCACATGAGGCTTCAGAGAGGACTTTCCATGCTTTCCTGTCCTGTGCAATCTTCAGTGCAATTTTCCATGTCAAAGATGCCACACTCAGGTCACTTTCCATCGTTCATCTCCATGTTGTTTTTGGGCACCCCTGTTTTCTCTTTCCCTCTGGTGTCCATGTGAGAGCTGTTTTGGCAGGTATATCAGAAGTCATTCTCATAACGTGGCCAAGCTATTTCCATCTTCTCTTGGTAATCATACACTGGGTTAATGTGAACAAAATGGTTGATATAAAAACTGGGTTACTGTGAACAAATCGTTGGCCCACCAAGGATGTAGTGATCATAATACATTATTTAGTCCCTGGCTAAAAAACATTTTTTAAACACTCTTTTTATTTTATTTCCCTGGCCTCTTGGAGGTTGTGTTAATGAGGTCTGACAGTTTTTATTTCTACAGAAGCCAGCCACAGCTGCACAAATACTGGCACAAAGACTCAGCAATCATGGGTTCTACATCCAGGTAAATGTTTCAAATAACTCAGACACACAGCAATCATGGGTTCACACCAATATCAAGGCAGATGTTTCACAGTCATGGGTTCACATCAAGGTAAATATTTCACATTCATGGGTTCACACCCACATCAAGGTAAATATTTCACATTCATGGGTTCACACCCACATCAAGGTAGATGTTTCACAGTCATGGGTTCACACCCACATCAAGGTAGATGTTTCACAGTCATGGGTTCACACCCACATCAAGGTAGATGTTTCACAGTCATGGGTTAACACCCACATCAAGGTAGATGTTTCACAGTCATGGGTTAACACCCACATCAAGGTAGATGTTTCACAGTCATGGGTTAACACCCACATCAAGGTAGATGTTTTAAACAATCAGGACACACAAAAGTCATGGGTTCACACCCACATCAAGGCAGATACTTCAAACAACCCGGACATCCAGCAGTCATGGGTTGACACCCACACTAAGGTAGATTTTTCCAACAAAATGCTGACTCAGCAGTCATGGGTTCACATCCACATCAAGGCAGATGTTTGAAACAACTGGGACACCCAGCAGTCATGGGTTGACACCCACATCAAGGCAGATGTTTGAAACAACTGGGACACCCAGCAGTCATGGGTTGACACCCACACCAAGGTAGATTTTTCCAACAACCCGCTGACTCAGCAGTCATGGGTTCAAACCCACATCAAGGCAGATGTTTCAAACAACTGGGACACCCAGCAGTCATGGGCTGACACCCACACTAAGGTAGATTTTTCCAACAACCTGCTGACTCAGCAGTCATGGGTTCACACCCACATCAAGGCAGATGTATCAAAACAACCGGGACAACCAGCAGTCATGGGTTGACACCCACACCAAGGTAGATTTTCAAAACAACCTGCTGACTCAGCAGTCATGGGTTGACACCCACACCAAGGTAGATTTTTCAAACAACCTGCTGACTCAGCAGTCATGGGTTGACACCCACACCAAGGTAAATTTTCAAACAACCTGCTGACTCAGCAGTCATGGGTTGACACCCACACCAAGGTAGATTTTCAAACAACCTGCTGACTCAGCAGTCATGTGTTCACACCCACACCAAGGTAGATTTTCAAACAACCTGCTGACTCAGCAGTCATGGGTTCACGCCCACATCAAGGCAGATGTTTTAAACAACCTGCCAACACATCCAACTTCTTTAAGCATTTGTGTGTGCCCAGGTTAGCCTTCTCAGTGCTGACAATGGTAACTGGGTTGGTGCATTAATGTGTGTGTCCGTCTATAGCCACTTGTCCAATGTGATGCACATTTTTTGTTCCTAGTCTATCATCAGTGCCCCAGAAACTGTGCCATTTATTTCATCCATTACACTTGAATGGTTTGGCCAGAAGTCCTAATTGTACTGAGATCATGTCTTTGTAACAATCATTCACGGCCTCAAGTGGAAGAGAAACTGCGGTATAATCTAAGGCCTCGACAACAAATTTAAGAATACCTAAAACATAACTATTATTTCATTACCTTCAAGACTCTGACATAAAACCGACTGTTCAATGTTTACAACTTTCTCATGCAAAGGAGTGCTGTTTGATACACACAAGCAGAGATCCCCTGGGCAGATGCCACAGTTGTTACCCTGTGAAAACAGAAATAAGAGAAACATAAATATTGATTTACTGACAATGATGGTGCATGTCAGAGTGAAGAGAACTGGCTCCAACAACTCAATATCATGTGATCAGATTAATGTGAGTTTCATGGCATAAAGGCTGTAGGATAAACATGATTGTAACTAGAGATTGTAAACTGATGATCCACATCCCAAACTCAGCTGTACCACACACACCCAACAGACATATACCCTCAAACCTGTTGTACCATATACAATAAACAGATTACATATACTCTCAAACCTGTTGTACCATATACAATGAAGAGATTACATATACTCTCAAACCTGTTGTACCATATACAATAAACAGATTACATACCTACCATATACAAACCATATGTTGTACCATATACAATGAAGAGATTACATATACCCTCAAACCTGTTGTACCATATACAATAAACAGATTACATATACCCTCAAACCTGTTGTACCATATACAATGAAGAGATTACATATACCCTCAAACCTGCAGTACCATATACAATGAAGAGATTACATATACTCTCAAACCTGTTGTACCATATACAATGAAGAGATTACATATACCCTCAAACCTGCAGTACCATATACAATGAAGAGATTACATATACCCTCAAACCTGTTGTACCATATACAATGAACAGATTACAGATACCCTTAAACCTGTTGTACCATATACAATGAATGGATTACAGATACTCTCAAACCTGTTGTACCATATACAATGAAGAGATTAAATATACTCTCAAACCTGTTGTACCATATACAATGAACAGATTACAGATACTCTCAA